TTTAGCTGCTTTTTTCTTCCCATAATACAAATTCTAACAGTCTATTAGATTATATTTCAAATTATATATTTTTGGTAAATAAATATATTTTTAAAGGTTGTAATGGGCTTTTGGACTAAAACACAGTTTGTAATTACAAATAATTTAGAAACATAAAAGTAGGGGGGCTGCTGGGGGGCAAGGCTCTACAACAACAACAACAACAACAACAACAACAACAACAACAACAACAACAAGAATAATAAGAATAATACATTCTATTTATAAAGTGCCTTTCAGGACACCCAAGGACACTGTACGATAGAAAAGAAACAAATGTAAATACATAGAGTGATAGGGTAGTGCAGCAGAAACGTAGAAATGAGGAGTACAGAACAGTCATGTAATGAAATACAAAAAAATAGATAAGTTGAACAATAGGGTTGTGGGGGAGAAATATAAATGAGAACTACAAAACAGTCATATATTGAGGTACAATCGAAGTTAACAGTAGGCTAATCTGAAAAGATGTGTCTTCAGGCCAGTCTTAAACAGTGAGAGAGAGGTAGTATTGCGTAATCCGTGGGGTAGTGAGTTCCAGAGCTGCGGAGCAGAGCGGCTGAAAGCTCTGCTCCCCATGGTGCTGAGGGGGGCAGGGGGTACTGAGAGGTGGAGGGAGGAGGCAGATCTTAGAGAGCGGGAGGGTGTGGAGATGTTCAGGAGGTCAGACAGGTAAGGAGGGGAAAGATTGTTGATAGCTTTGAAGGTGTGTAGGAGAATTTTAAAGATGATGCAGGATTTAACTGGGAGCGAGTGGAGCTGTTGTAGGACTGGAGTGATGTGTGCAGAGGATGAGGTTTGAGTGATTACACGGGCTGCTGAGTTCTGAACCATCTGTAGTTTGTGAAGGGATTTATTGGGGAGGCCAAACAGTAGGGAGTTGCAGTAGACGATCCTGGATGTTACTAGGCTGTGTACAAGGATGGCAGTGGAGCAGGGAGAGAGTGAAGGACGGAGACGGTTAATGTTGAGAAGATGAAAGTAGGCAGATCGAGTCACGTTGTTAATGTGGGATGTGAAAGAGAGTGTGGTGTCAAGGATGACACCGARGTTCTTGACCTGAGGTGAGGGGCAAAGAACGGAGTTGTTAAGTGTGAAGAGAAGGTGTTGGGATTTGAAAATGGAGTTTTTTGTCCCAACAAGGAGGAGTTCAGTTTTGTTATGGTTTAGTTGGAGGAAATTATTGGAGAACCAGTTACTGAGCTCACTGAGGCAGTCGGTAAGAGTGGAGGATGATAAGGTGGAGTTCGGTTTTGATGAAATGTAGAGTTGAGTGTCGTCGGCATATGAGCGGAAATGAACACCAGATTTAAGGAAGATGTGGGCAAGCGGAAGCAGATACATTATGAAAAGTAGAGGCCCGAGTACAGAACCTTAGGGAACACCAGTGGAGATGGGTGAAGACTGGGAACGGAAGGACTTGAGCTGTATGAACTGAGTGTGGTCCGAAAGATAGGATTTAAACCAGTCCAGGGGGGTGTCTGAGATGCCGATAGAGGTTAGTCGGTCGATGAGGATAGGATGAGAGATGGTGTTAAAGGCAGAGCTCAGATCAAGGAGGATGAGTATTGACAGAAGTCCTGAGTCAGCAGCAAAGAATAGATCTGATATATATTTTTAAACTTTATCATTTTTTTTATATTTGATCCTATTGCATTAATCAGCTGTATTAAATGTCTTTCTTGCTGCCATAATTTTCATCTCTGCAGCTTGCAATGTCTGATAAGAAGCAACCCTGTGATTGGTCAAGATGTTTCTCTCTGTGCTTTGCTTGTAATAAATTGTACAGCTTTTCCCAGCGGAGGTCAGAACTTTCTGCTGAGACCCGTCCTTTAGCGTCCTCAGAAACTTCTCACTCTTTGCAAAGAGAAAACTGTTTTAAAACTGAATGCTTACGTCTGTGTCTGGTTTATTTCTTTTTAAGGGGTAATTTAATGTCCACTCTGACAAGATCATTAGTAATTTTAATAAGATTGGTTCGATCCCCAGTCCAGCTGTTTCAGTCGTTGTGTCCTTGGGCGAGACACTTCACCCAGCTTGCCTACTGATGGTGGTCAGAGGGGCTGGTGGCGCAGTATGGCAGGCCCGCCAATATCAGCCTGCCCCAGGGCAGCTGTGGCTACAATGTAGCTTACTGTCATCACTGTGTGAATGTGTGTGAATGAATGATCCATGAAAATTGTAAAGTGTCTTTGAGGG